TCATGATTTCATTGCTCATTAAAGTGCACATTTAGTTCTGTCTTACTGGTTTGTTAATATTATCTTATTAAATTAAAAACCATTTCAATTACAAATTATAAATTAATTGAGATCTGTCTGCTAAAGTTGTTTACTGTGGAATAACCTACGCGAATAACGTTGGTTTTTAAATTTTTATGGCCCAGACTTCCGTTCTATGATGACGGTGTTGTGGGGGCGGACGTTTTAATATGTTTTTAAATTGATTCTTTATGTTGACTCTGTGCCAAATATTGCAACGAAATTAAATTATTATGTAAAAATACGTAAATTAGTTACGATTACATCAAACTAATTAGAAGAGGCAACCAAGTAGTCGGCTAGTATGAATGAAAGCCCTTCTGGAATGAAAATACGACCCCACTTCCTGCCGTTCATTGACAAGAAATAGACTCAATTCTAATTGGTGTATTCCAATATCATAACTTATGAATGAAACGACAATGTTCCTGTTTTATAGCTGGAAAAGCGATATGAAAAATAAACAAATTATACTTGAATACCATATATGCAAATGTGAAATAAAATCTCTCGTCATTGAATTTTAATGCAAAATGGTTTTATAGTCTGGAAGTGTATAATTATAGGAGAATTTACGTTTGAAGTTTTTTATTTGGTATTGAACTGGTTCTGGAATTGGGTTGTATTTCATTCTATCCGTAATTTATGAGACGGTATATTTGTTACTGCAAATTGCGAAAACTTAAGTTGGCTTTACTCGTTATGGTCTGAAACCTGTTAGGGTTTTCTTATTTTGCTTACACCCGTGGTGCAGTAAGTACAATATGATAGAAAACATTTATCATACACGCTAAAATTGGCCGTGTTGTTCCTAAACTAATTCCTCCGGAGAAATAATCCGTGTGGAAATCCCATTGTTAAGACCATTTCCTCCTTTCGTGAAATACCTGAATGGAATCAGACGTTTGAGAAACCCCCTGAAACAATGTTATTAGACAATTGAAAGAAAAAGATATGTCTATAGAACACCACGAAAGAAAACATTTAAAACAAAGGAAAAAATGAAATCGAAAGAGTCTAAAATCGGATCGAAACTAGCGGAAGTGAGAAACTCATTAGGAGATGAACTTCGTAGTCACCTGTTTTGCGAAAAGGTATTTTTTGACGTAGCGCAAGGTCGAAAATAAAAATGATGGGAGATGTAATAATAGTCTGGGAATAACAATTTCACGTGGTATCCTTTCCACCTGCAACATTTTGTAAATAGTCACATTACACATGGAGACACTTAATGAGCAAAGGACGCAGCGATAAAAAGAAAAGAGAGAGAATGATGGAAAAGAAAACGTCAAATAAAAAAAAACATTTCTGATTGTTGTGACAAAGCACCTAGAACTTAGTAAAATTCCATGTTTTAAGCCCTTACAACGTCCCCAATTCCTTATTTTGGCTAATGTGGTCATTTGTTTTGTGCATTCACCGTGTCCACGTCATTCATTCATGTTTTAAAAAGGGTTTTAGTCGTGTGGAAGTGCGTGTCCGTGTGGTAAGGGTGCACACACGTACAGGTTCCGATGCAGCTGTTTCACTTCCGGCGGAGACCCGGAGAAGTGTGTTGAAGCGAATTTTCACCCATTCATCGTTTGGGACAGACTATCGTGTATGTATGCTTTTTGATCTTTAAATTCATTGTTGATACGAAGTAAATTGTGAGCCCTTTGAACATTTGTACTAAAATAAAAGTTCTTTGTTTTAATGATTTATTTCAACTAAATGAAAGCACAATTAACGGTGTTTTTATTCATGGACTAAATTGTGATTTTATGTCGCCACAAAATGAATTTGCCACATAATAACACCAATCAAACGGCTTATAATAACCCAGCAACAGTTGTAAATTGCGTTAACGCAACAGATTGGAACTGGGTCGTGAAAAATAAAAGAAATCATATGCGCATACAGCACAAAATAAAAAACACTTTTTAGTGGTGTTAAATGTACACAAGTGTGTACCTAAAAAATGGCATTAAGAGTGAATCTCAGAAAAAAAAAATCTAAAAAAAGTTACATGCTATGAACTTCAAGCTATACACGCTGTGTTAAACATTTTAGGTAGTTATCTGTTGTAGTTTGTTGGTTCCATACTTTTGCCCTAGTCTGTATGGCTCTGTAATTTACTTAAGTTTATTCATACCATCTCATTTTAAATTGTTTCACAATATGCTTGAAGTTAATGATAATAAAGTTTTAAATTACTGAGAATTGATGTCAAATGTAGATAATCTTCCGCTAATCACTAATTTGAAATCAGTGTCACGACGTCTATTCAAATAAACGTGAAAAGTAATTTTACAATTTTCAAAATTTCTCCAAAAAAGATTGATTCCGTGAGAGAAAGCAATTTGAGGTTATGTTTTTGTTTACGTCGCACTTCTAAAAAGCAGCTATGGGTAGAGCGGATACTAGTTGGTACGTGGTTTTAAGGATGGGTGCACATGCGGAGTTACAATGGAAGTTTTACAAATTTTACAATACAAGGGTTTTTAGGAGTACATAGAAAAAAATAGTTAAAAAAAATGTTTTATGAAGTCATTGTCACACTTGTTTTACAAATTTTTAACTCGTATGTTAATAATGGACCTTATAAAACCTAATGTATTATTATCCACATGGGTGCCAACAGAAGCCTTTTTCAACGAAGGGTCATCCTTAAATTTTTGTAATATACTTTCTATCTGTATAAATATAGTCATTTATTAGTGTGCCGCTTCATTAGACTTTCTACTAAAATAATTAATCTTAACTTTGAATCAAACTCTAACGGTTATTTCTTGAAATCACGAAGGATACGGAAACATGTGGAAGAAAACACATTTATTGTCGAACCCTATTCTCGATCTGCCGCCAAAAAACTGAAATTTTTCGAAAGCTGATTTGTAAAAATCAATATCTCCGTTATTCTTTATGGAAATTTTTCGGATTTCGCCACTACCTTCAGTTTACAGAACTCTAAACACTACCTAAGAAACATTATGGACTTTTTTTGTCGGAAATAAGACACTGTAAAAGCATTTTTTCGACAAAATCTGATTCTATTGCATCTCATTTCCTGTTAAAAAAAAGTCGATTCTGTTTCTTGGGTAATGTCAAGAGTTTTGTAAACTGAAAACAGTGGCAAAAACCGCGTTCTGAAATTTCCACAAGTAACTGAGATATCAATTTTTAAATATACGTAATGAAAAATGTCAACAAAATGTCAAAACGAAGGAGATGATAAACCGTTAAAAAAAACTGCTGTCTTGTTATATTAAAATTTCATAACAATAAGTCTGTTAATAATGGACATATTACATTCTGAAAATATATTGAATGAAAATCATACTCACTACACGTAGGGTCGAAAATTAACTGTGACAACTTAGCTGTCAAATGTACAAAACCGATACAAGGTAGCAGAGTTTTTATTATCGGTAGTGCCAACGTAATATCACAGAACACTAACTTAATATCAGCTGCAACGATTGATTTTTGCCCGATTTAGTAATGATGATTCGTAAAGAAACAATGTCATTGATGATGTGTACGTATTAATTCGTTGTTTCGATTTTACTAGGAAATTGAATGCCCATGATTATCCATTTTGGTTAGCATCTCCAAAAAATACACAAATTATAACCAAAGATTTAAAAGACAAAAGATTGAGGTAAAATACTTAAATTTAAACGAGGATGAACAAATAAGTTTTGTTTAGCTTTTCTTTCTATAAGATGTTCCAAAAGTATCTAAACATCAAGTGTTGATTTATCAATATAGTAGTTTAGGAAATTTTCTGTTTATGACGACAACGACGGAGCGGCGGAAAAAAGGTACCAACATGAATTTGACAAAATGACCCCATTACAGCTTACAATCAGAAAATAACAATCTTTTTCAGAAGTTCAACGTCTAATTAGAGGGAAGGCAGATCTATACAATTGACACTCATCTTAGACGAAGCAAATGTGGCCCAAAATAATCACTGCCAAACTGTGGTAGTACAGGACCTTGTAACTTCTTCATCTTTGTTTTGGTAAACTTGTGTTTCTATTCAGAGAAGATTTGTTCTTTCGGAAAAATCGTTTGACAGCACCAACACTTCAAAAGTTTAGCTCTTTGTTAGGTGGAAACATTATCAAACGCTGCCACCAAATATCAAAGTTAAAATATCAGATTCTGCTCTCTCGTTTTGCTGAATAATGGTTAGCAAAGGCGATGGGGACAGATCAGATCAAAGCGCTGTAAGTGCTGGTCCTGGAGACATAGTAGTAATCAGATCCTCAAATGGTTACCTGGTGCATCATAAACCATTTCGCGCCATGCTGTTACATCAGAAATAATGACGGCATGCGACTGGTGTGAACGATGTTGTGGTTGACAAAAATGTAAATGTCTTGCCACGATCCGCAGGATTGATTATTACCTTAGTAAAGTTATGTAGACGCCGGAATGGTTAATCACACCGTCTTTGAGAGTACAGCAGCTGCTTGCTCAATGAGAATAAAAATTTCCACAAATACTACTCGAAAGCACCTATAGTATGGCCCGAAATAGGCAGTTCTGAAGTCCGGCGAGGCAGAAGCTCGCATCCTCGTCGTTTCCTCGTTTTGGCAAACGTGGTCACTTGCCGCGTGCATCCACCGTGTCCACGCCATTCATTCATGTATAAAAAAGGCCCTTTAGGTGAATGGAAGTGCGTGTCCGTGTGTCAGGGGTGCACACACGCACAGGTTCCGGTGCAGATGTTTGGGCACTTCCGGTAGAGTAGGTCGCGGTGAAGTGTGCAGATGCGAATTCTCACTCATTCATCGTTTTGTCAGGCGTTCTAATTCCGTATATGTATGCGGCGAGGTTGTTTTGGTGGATGAATGAATGGCGCGTTGTTGTCGGCGGGCGGGGGGCGGGGGCCGGGGGCTTGCGGCCCATCGCCGAGGCGAGGCTGGGCATGCGCCGTCCAGGCCTCGGGCCCGCTTCTCGCAGAATGCCCAAGGTTTCGAGCGACTGAACAAGTCCGCGTGGAATCGGCCGTTTACAGTGAAGTGTGTCCAGGATTTGCAGTGCCCACGAAGGGATCAGTTGTGTGTTCGTCGGGTGGGTCCAGTGGCGTCCAGCGAGCGCACCGGGAATCCGTTCTTCGCGGCCTCTCGACCGCTGGCCGACATGGCCGCCGCTTAGCGCGCCTCTGGTCGGTGCGCAACAGGCCGCCCCCAGAGTGCAGTGAGTGCCACCCCCGTGCAGTGCAGTTCAGTGCCGCCGCCCCAGACACGCGGCGCGCCTCGAGCGGGATCACTACTCGGACGCAAAATAACCGAGGTAAGTGGCCCTTATTTATATTTATCTCCTCATGTTGGCACCACTCTGGTAAACAAGTCGTTTCTCCGGGATGCATCATCCTGCGATGACCCACAGCGGAAACTCCCTCCGACCCTCTTTCAATCGATACAAAATACGGAACAAGCGGACCCCAGCGAGCTAATCGGACCAACCTCTCTCATTACTAATTTGAATTTTTCGGCTACTACAATGTACCCCAAAAACACACACTTTCCACGAATGTCTTCATACTCGAACAACTGTCAAGTGTCGCTTGGAGTTTCCGCCTTTTCGTCACAACCACTGTCAAAAAATTCTTCATAGTTCGTAATCCGGCGTCCGTTTGAACCGGGTACGTAAATTAAACATATTATGTACCCCGAAAATTTGACCGCCGTCCGACTATTAATAGTTACTTCATCTGCATTAAAATCAGCACTGTCAGTTGAATCAACCATGTAATTACACGGTTTGCCTAAGATGTGTAGACTTAATTGGTAAATGTCCATTGTGGCGCAAATTGCTGTCACTCTAACCACAAAAATAAGAAGTCTTTAAGCTTTACCGCCACATAAATCCCGTCAGGTAACAACTTTGCGGTACCATGTTTTGTCAAAGTTTCAACTTTTGTCCCATTTTTGAAGGAGACGGTACTTACCTGTGTATTGTATATAGTTTTTTTGTAAACGTATAATGCGACTTTCGCATACAGGATTCGCCCTTTTTTCCCGCAAATTTGATAATTGGGTACTACTATTGACCAATACACCCTCAAGCTTTTTGCTGTTACCTTCACAATCGCGGTGTCAAAAAGTTGCGATCTGTTTTATTTGCGATAAAATTTTGTAATATGTGTTCTATTTGAACTGTCTACGTAAATTAAACACGAGATACGGAACTCTGAATAAGCAGTCCGCCCATAAATGTGTTACCAAAAATTGGTTCTTATCTCAGTATCGTTACACCTTGGTATAAGTGCTATCAATTTAAGTGGAGTACTTAATAAATAATTGTCGTAAGTGTAAATTTTATGTAACCTAAATATGAATTTTGACTACCGGTTTTCTAATAATCAAAAATTGATGTTGAAAATGTTGCACACATTTATTTTTTAATCGAACGGTATACTTTTGACGGCCATCTGTTCGTCTTTCTAATATTTCGTCTAGGACTAAGTGTGTTCTAGAACGTAAATTAATTGTTCATATGTCAATATAAAGACGGATGTATTTGTCAACATAGTCTGCGTGTAAGAAGAAAAAGTACCTTAAAAATAATCGTCATGTGGACACAAGCACATTTTGTAAGTTGCTATTTTGTGTCAAAAATTGCTGAATAGTGTTATTTGCCACTTACCAACAGTAAGTTAAACAACTTAAGTTCGAAACAAGTGCTTTAAAATTCAGTCACAAAGTAAAAAAAGTACATTTCCAGTAGCAAGTTGAAGTAGCAAGCACTTTATAAACCCCCTGTATATTCGTCCGGTCAGAACTCCTGTTTACAAAAATTGGTCCAACAAATCCCACTTCTTTGAAAAATTATATAATTAGATTTTGCGATGTATTTTTTTGGAAAGACCTATAAAGTAAAAAACCAGCGGCATAAATAGTCCCTTTCGTATTGGGCGCAAATTGCAAGGGATTGTCCAAAGTACAGACAATGTAAAATAAATTTAAAGCAGATGACCAACGGGAAAAATGGTGTCTCAGCAATAATAGCAAACTTTAACTTCCAGTGTTTGTTTATTAATTAAGCCACAGTCGAGCAGAATGTGCCGAATTTTATTATTATAATTCTTATATTAAATAAGGACGTGCAGATTTTTCTCTTTCTCAAAAATGGGGTGATTCGTTGTTATTTTGGTCAATAAAAAATTTACTATGACGTCATAAACGTAGATAATACACAGCGCAAGAAAAAACAGAAAAAAAGAAACGGCCAAGTTTGGCATCGAACGTGGGACCGCCGGTCCGCATGCTGACGCCATAACTGCGTGGCCACGGACGGTTAGATCTTGAGTTAGAACTAGGTAAAATGTTATGCCGTATTAATTTTTATGTGAACATTTGGTCGTTTCGGGAAAAAGCTCAAAGCGGATTCGTACAGCACAAGTATAGGAGTATATTATTGTATAACATTTAAATGATTTTAAAACAGAATTCTTTGAAATGACGTGATCAATTATTATTATTATTAGTGGGGATGATCAACCAAATTTTGGCAGAGCTACAAAATAATGATGTTCTGGCGCATATCAAAGACCTTATAACACCTACACGTCTGGATGTACTGTACTGAGAAAATTTAATTTGGAAAATCCAATTAACTTTGCTGCTGGTGGATCAAATAAAATTGTCTTTGTCATTGAGAGGTGCACAAAAAAAGAAATTAATATTAACGTGAGGGCGTCTTTTAGTCAACGTATTTTTTTGCGAATACAAGCAAAAGTACTAATAAAGAACATAAAGCAACTCCAACTTTCTGTCTTAAATTTCATTCAATAAATTTTTATTTTGTCCAGAAACGAAACACTGGAGTTTTGTAAAGCATTTAAAACCGCATGTGTATTTCCCCTCATATTGTAAAAAAAAAGTGTTCAACTTCACTTATTCAAGGAGCCACATTCCATCGTCCCAACGCACGCAATTCCGCCGCCGCCGCCCGAACAGACCGTTCAGGAACCGCATCGTGCTTTTCTCATTCACACGATTTGGTTTAAGACTCGCTATATTTGCACTCCACGATTTGCATATAAAATACCGCCCCGGGTCCTGTCATTATTCAAAAAATTAACCGCTTCATAATTCAGATAATACGTAGCGAACTATGAATGAATACGACGGAGACTGTTGTTTTAGCTAATAAAAAGTAAATTACGTGCACACACTTAATGCTTTTATCTCTAGTTTCGTAACTTTTGTGTGATTTATTCATTGATGGTACCGTCTGCTTAAATTTGTTTTTTACAATAGTGGATTTACTCATAAATCAGGAAAAGTGTTCCATGTTTGGTGTTATCATGTTGACATCGGTACCATGAGGAACAGTATTTTCGGTTGCGTTATTGTGGGATAAATAAGAAGCGGAATTTATGGGTACCCATATATAGCTGTTCAGGTATGGTGGTTGTATCATTATAACTGAACTTGCAGCTATTTCTAACTATATCGTTGAATTATGCAGGTATTTTAAAATGATTAAAATTATGATAATTTTTACCATTCTGAAATTACATTTCTTGTATTTAAGGCGATTTCTGTTGCTTCTAGAAGTAAATTGCAGCAGTATTAACCCAATATTCCTTTGTTTACACTGATGTCTGTGATATTACGTTCTTTATCTCATTAAGTTGTTCAAGCGACGAAAAAATAATTAATTTCTATTAAAAGCTTAACCACACTTGTCCTGTTAATGTAAATGTACTTTGAGTTAGTGTTACAAGGTCGTTTTTAAAAAATAAATTTTAAAGAATAGAACCACTAACAAGAAGTTCTAACATCATACTTTCTGCTTATATGTATTCTAACAACTCGCTTGATAAACAAACCACAAAACCAGAAGTCATAATCCAAACTTGATAAGCACTGAATGATTAACATCCATTTTTGCAACTTTAATGCTTCACATGTTCCATAAAGTACGACTTTTTCGGGTTACGTGAACAGCTGTACGGTTTTAATATTCCATATTTAATATTTAAACAAAAAACTATCTAGGAAAGCTGAAGGTGATTTTACAAAAGATACGCAAGACGCGATGTTGTAATACTGTTTTTTTACTGCAAGAGAGTTGACATGTGGATCATATGGTGAACATCCTTCGGATTAATGATTGTAATTAGATCATTCACATTCGATCCAGCTGAATTTTTTGAAACGTCATCACCACGAGTGATGATTATAAACAGAAATCTATTAAGCGTTCTAAGATACGTTTTTTGAGAATATTTCAGGATACTTAACACTGAAACAGATTTGTTGAATGTCACGATGTTAAAGAAACTCTTGTTCGTCTGGAAGTGTCAAAAAAAAATAGTTAACGTTGCTAGAAACATGTATGTATTTGGACGTAGTTTTACGTTGGTTCTGTTTGAGGCTGCTCCATAACGTCAAACGATTACGATTAACGAAGTAGGTATATCAGAAATGATATTGTATTCATTAGTTCAGAACCGGAACTATGAGGGGGGAGCTGTAGTGAAATATAATATTTAGTAATTTTTTGTTTCATTATTTAAAAAATTTGTATGTACGTAATCTGAGAGAAAAAAAATGACAAGAAAAATATATAAATAATTGGGAATGAAATAAAAACTGCTTCATGTGAAACAACGCATTGCTAAATTAATTTAAAAAACGTTTCTTGTGAATGAAAAACATGTTAAGGCGCATTAAGTTGTTTGGCAGACCAGTCCGGAAAGTAATAAATCTTGGCGATATTTTTTAGTACATTGACATTTGCGTAAATAACTGATTGTAATGAGCAGGTGTAAATGTAATGGAATAACTACAATACATTCACTATAGTTGCGAAAAACGAAAATATGAATGCTAGATTTCAGTTTAATTCCTGAAGCAGCGCCGTATTAAAACTTTGTGTATTAAAAGAAAAATAGTCATTTTTCCGTTGAATTTTTTCAATATTAATGAAGCCTTGGTAAACTCGTGATAAACAATATATATTATTTATGAATCAGGTTGAATAAGAGCGATTATGTAAAAAGCGTTCTGCAAATGTGTTAGAAATTTTTCTGCATAATTATTATTGTGTCGTCGAGCAGTCCGAACAGGAAGTCGAAATTTTTGCTCTCTTTTCTCCGCCGATAATTACGTTATAATTAGCGAGAAAACTCAGCTAGTTTCCTTCGGGCCCGCAGAACGCAAATGGTTTTCTTTCACGCTTGAGGCTCTCATGTTGAAATCCTTCACTTACAGTTACAATTCGGTGAAATCTTCAAGGTTTTTGGCATGTGTTCCGACTATGTTGGTGTTCTTCAATAC